TCCGCAGCAGGCGCATCGCCGTGCCCGGGGCTCCCGCGCAGCCCCTCAGCTCGGGGCCTTCCCCGGGCTCGCGCCTGCCGGCACCTCGGTGTGTTTATTCGATGGAGCCGAATAAAGCTGTCCCGGTGCTTGGCACCCGCCGGGTTTCAGGACCGTGTATCCTTTTACTTTATAATCCCTGTCATCGTTATCTGCTTTCAGTATTAGCGTGTTTTTAGTTTTATTGCCTTAATAGACCCCGGTCTGTGAGGTGATAAGAGCTCGACCACCTGTTGTTGCCGTGTTCAGCTTAGAACTAAGAGAAAACTTTGTAATTCCCAGCACTTTGCGCTCTGTCGTCGTGCTGGAAATCTCCAGGAAAGGAGAATTACTTTGCTGTCACTAAGAAACACTTGAGAGAGCTAAATAAACCTCAATAAAAGCGAGGTGACAGCTGGCACACACAGCCTCATTTTATTTTGTGTGTATGTGTGTTGTGTGGTCAGCATTCCCTTTAAATAGGGTAAAGTGCCTAATACAACTTTTGCTGGCTGTTCTACTCCCTGCAGAAATGTATAATTATTATAATTATTAATTATAATTATAACATTTACTATTTTTAATATTAATTATAATAAATATATTATTATAATTGCCACAGCACCCAGAGAAGAATGTTCTTCTTCCCTTGTTTTTTAATGGCCCATTTAGTTTTTGGGGTTTCAAAAACACCTGCATAGCAACTTTTATTGAATCCTGCTACTTCAGGGCAAGGGATGAAGGCTTCCTCTTTGTGGAAAACAGCAGCGCATTTTTTTAATTTCATATTATAGCTTTTGTAAGCCATGCCCTTGTTTTCTCAGGGATCCACATAGTGGTAACCCATGTTCCACCTCAAGACATTTTGAAAGACTTTTTCATTCTGATCTTCCTCTTCAAACACAGAAACTGAAAGTTTGCTCCATGTAATATTTCTGGTAGTATTTTTGCTAGTGCCTGGAGTAGAGTTAGAACCTAATTCCCCTTGTGTAAAATTGCTTACAGCAGTAGTAGTATTTTTCAACATGGTTCTGCTTTTAAAAAATCATTTTCAAGTGAATGTTGACCTTTTTGTCATGCTAATTTTATATTTTGCTCTTTATTTTTTGTTTGCATTGAACCCTGAATGTGTTTTTGTTTTCTCCCCTTGCACCAAGGGTCAGAGAGTTTGTCACAGTTGTCTATTCTATCAGCACCCCAATACACGGGTGCTCTTGCGCAAACAAGGAAGAGACTTAAGAGCATTCTTGAAAAATTACAAAATGAAACATGAGCAACTTCTGTTTTTTTCTGATTGTAGCTGCAGAACATACTTTTTGGGGTGTGATTTTCAGGTTATGCATCTACAGAAGGATGAATCTGATCATTTTATTTACTGCCTTGCCTTACAGGTTAGCATGTGAACAGCTTTGCTAGGTGTTCTGGTGGGTTAACTTTTCGAGCAGAAATGGAGTACAGGACTCAGTTACTGCATCCTGAGTGACGAATCCTTTGACGCAAAATGGAGAAAAAGCGTAGAAAGAAATGAGCCTGTTTATTAGGCTTTACCTCAAAAGACCATGAAATCTCTACTTATTTTGGACACAGCTTTAAGAATATACAGTTGAACAGCACAGTGGAAGCAACCTTTGCTGAAACAAAAATGAACTAATTTACAAAGAAGAAACGAGTGATTTGAATATATGGAATTTTTGAAATGAAACCATTTTCTTCTATGACCATGAGGTTTGCAAACATCTGGTTTGTTCTGGTTGTAATTTTACTTTGTGGCAAAAAACACCTTGGTACCAGACTAGGAAATTCCTCTCATGAGGCTCACATATGTCCTGGATGTTCTCGCCTTACCTTGAAAGTGGAATTCACTTCGACAGTCGTGGAGCATGGTAATAAAGAATTGATAAAAATACATATGAAGTTCAAGTACATGTTACTCATCTGTGGTGTTTGTGTGAATGTAATATTTGAAGAGTCTATAGCCAGAGAATCCTCTGCTAATTCTCTGTATTCAAATAGATTTCCTCCCCAAATTTCTCAGTTTAACTGGAGCCAGGATTCTCAGAACAAGAAAGGAAAGATGGGGGGAATAAGGAGGATGCTGAAGTGATTAACAGACAGAAATAGCTTCAGATGGGTTAATATATGAATGCCAAAGGGATGTGGTAGAAAGGTGAACGGTAGGTTCATATAGTTTGTTATATAACTCTTAAAAAAACAAGAGGTTCTGGAAAGGTGTGCGGAGGCTTTTTATATCTATTTCTATGTTAACAGTTCAAACCTTAGGTTCATGTTGTATCCTAGCTTATCTGACTCGGTCTTAGAAGTCAACATCTTAGTTGTCCTCAGTTTATGCCTTAACTCTGCATCTTTTTTTTTTTTCTCAAGTAATCATAGTTTTCCTTCTGCCTACAGGCAGAAAATCAGTGACCGTGTTTTTGTGCATAGTTAACCAAAAGCTCATTGAGGTGAATGTGGTGTGTGCTGGGGATGAGATCTACCCACAAGTTATTTATCCAGATAAAGGACTGTTGGGGCTAGCTGAGTTCTCTGTGTCGTAGATAGTGTCAATAATTTGCTGTTGCTAATTGACGACAGTTGTCTGTATATATTAAATATATACCATATATATTGAAGACAGTTGTCTGTATGGTTGGATGTAACTGTAATTTGGTTCTCTCTTTCACTGTGCTCTGCACACTTCGTTGTTTTACCTTTTCAGGTTGTTTACAATTCTTCCATCTGTTCAAAGGTCTTTACCATGGTTTGGGTGTTTCATGATCCAAAAAGAAACTTAGTGCAGAAATAAATTGGAAAAATGCATAGAAACAGCTGTTTGTTTTTATCCAAATACTGTTCAAGCCTAAGTTTTGATATTACAAGACTGAGCTTTTTTTACAGGCATGATACTGTGTTTTAAAATTCATGTCCTTAGAGCTTTTCCTCCAAATTGGCAAAATTAGTAAACCCAGGTTACGTTAGTTCCTTTATTAAATATTTTCGTTTGGAAGATAGAAGTATTCAGATCCTTTTGATGTGAATACATTAGGAAGCTGTTCAAGGATCAGTTCTGAAGAGTTGTGTTCTTCTTACAGAGTACATTGTGGCTTTTAATGGATACTTCACAGCTAAAGCTAGAAGTAAATTTATTTCAAGTGCACTAAAAAGCAGTGATATTGAGAACTGGAGGATCATACCTCGCA